ACACCTTGTCCCCCGCCGCCTTCTCCCGCCGGTACAGGAAGGACTCGTGCACCAGGAAGCTGCCCCCCAGGGGCGTCCTCAGGAACTCGGGGCCTCCTGTGGGAAGATGGGAAGGACCTTCAGGGAGGGAGGTGGAGGCCGGGGCGGGACTGCCGGACGGGCGGAGGGCTGGGCTCTGGAGCGGGGAGCCCCCAGGGAGGGAGACTCACCCGGGTCCTCGTCAGAGGGCCCCTGGGGGGCTTCGGGCTGGGCAGGGGGCTCCTGATCCTGGGCCTTGGCTCGCTTTCGGCCCTGGGGTCGGGGGGCGGGCAGCGCGCCCGTCTCTCTGCGGGAGAGCAGACTGTCCACAGCGCACGTTAGGCTATGGCCCACGAACTCGTACTCGTCCGCCGTGGTCTCCTCCGTGGCCTTCTCCTGCTGCCGCCGGGCCTCCAGCCCCTCCATGTCGGGCGGGTGGCAGTGCCGGCGCATCATGGTCACGCGCTGGCCCTGCGTGATGGCGCGGCTGCGGCAGCCATACAGCGCGTGGTCGCGGCACGTCCAGTACACCTTGTCCCCCACCACCTTCTCCCGCTTGTAGAGGAAGGAGCGGTACACCAGGAAGCGGCCCCCATAGCAGGTCTTCAGGAACTCCAGGGACCGACCCTGCCCTGGAGGGAGGACAGGAGGACAGAGGGGCGGCTGGGCTCACGCCTGCCATCCTACCTACTCAGGAAGCCGAGATCTGAGGATCACAGTTCAAAGCCAGCCTGGGCAACCAAGGAACTGAGACCTTTATCTCTGATTAACCACCCGAAAACCAGAAGCGGAGCTGCGACTCAAAGTGGTAGAGCGCTAGCCTTGAGGGAAAGAGCTCAGGGGCAGTGCCCAGGCCCTGAGTTCAAGCCCCAGGACTGACAAGAGGAGGAGGAGGAGGGGGATAGGGAGGTGGCGGCAGCGCAGGCTGTGGCAGAGCTGGGTGTGACAGGGAACTTTAGCAGAGACCAGCCCATTCCAACACAGCCCCTGGTGCTACCCAGAACAGAGCTGGGCTTCCTCTCCTGCCCCCCACACCCCCCCCCGCCCTAGGCCACAACAGGAGGGGCTGGGCCATGTTCCTGTTTGCTCTTGGCTGTGTTTTCATTTGTTAGGGTTTATTTAATGTCATTCTCTTTATTATTATCTTTAAGTAGTTGTTACAAAGGAGTTGCCATGTAGGCTTAATTTTTTTTTTTTTTATCAAACCTTTTCAATAATACATGCTCACGCTGCTCTAAGTCAAGCAGCACTGAGAGATACTCAGTGGAAAGGAAGTCCCGCCCTGCCTCAGCATCTGGCTCTCCCAGCCTGGGACCCTTAGATCCTTCTGGGGTCAGGGCTTCTGGAACCCACTACCTTACTGCGGGTAATAAAACCCACCTCTCCCCAAGCCCCCACCTGCTAAGTGCCCCCCAGGGCAGCCCAGCCTGTTGCATCTGCCTCAGGATAAAGCTCCAGAGACACCAGCGTTTGAGCAAGTTTTCTAAGGCCCAGGGCCACCGGTGGATGGGGCTGGAATTTGAACCTGGGACCAACTGACGAGCCTTCCCAGGGATCCTGCCCGGATTCCATCCCATCAGAAGCACTGGGGCTTGTTCCAATTCAGATTTCCAGGCCTCTACATTGGGCCTTTCTGCATCAGAGAATTCTGGAAGGACCTCCCCCCAGAGCCCCAGCTGGTTTAGGAGCAGTAGTGCTGGCCCGGGACTACCGGGGCACATTTGTATTTTTGATCTTGAGCCCATTTTGGGGAAACACATGGAACCTGACACGCCTAGGTTTTAGCTTGAGCTCAGGCTCAAGCTTCCCTGGCTAGGCTGGCTGGCTGTCTCCCGCTTGAGCCAGGCCTGCAGCCCTGGGGGACCCTCCGTTTCTGTCTGGGCATGAAAGGACCGGCAGGTTCCTGCCTGCTAAGAGGAAGAAGGGGCGCGTGCTCACCGGGCCTCCGCTTGCGCTTCTTGAGAGGCAGCCTGAGCAGCGAAAGGGCCAGGGCTCGCTCCTCCTCCTCCAGGGCCAGCTGCTGGAGGATGGGGTCCGGCTCCTCCAGCAGTGGCCACAGCGTCACGCCGTCCAGTGCCTCCTCCTCTTGGCCTTCAGTGCCCTCTGGACCGGGGGGCTCGCCCAAGCCCTCCGGCAGGCCGGGACCAGGCAGTGTCTCCTTCTCACACCCGGCCTCTGGGCCCTCCTCGTCGGGCGGGTGGCAGTGATCCCGCATGACGGTGGCCCGCAGGCCGCGCGAGACAGCCCGGCCCCGGCAGCCCAGCTCCGCGTGCCGGCGACACTTCCAGTACACCTTGTCGCCCACCGCCTTCTCCTGCTTGTACAAGAAGCCCTTGTACACCAGGAGGCGGCCTCCAAACGGCGTCCTCAGGAACTCCAGGGGCTGGGGGGCAGCTGAGGGCAAGGAGAGGGCTGGTTAGCTTTCCTGGGGCAAGACTGGAGGCCAGGGAGGGTGGGGTGAGGGGCTCTGGAGGAGGATGGGGTCTGTATGAGTGGGGTCCCTCCTTGGACCCCCCAGCTGTTGGGCCAGAAGTGTACACTGTGCAGCTGGCTTCTCAGGATGCAGTGGATGTGTTTGGAGGAGTTTAAGAACTTTTTTTTGTTTTGTCGGTCGTGGGGCTTGAACTCTGGGCCTGGGCGCTGTCCCTCAGCTCTTCAGTTCAAGGTGAGCGCTGGAGCCACAGCGCCACTTCCAGTTTTTTGGTGGTTTATTGGAGATAAAACTCATGGACTTCCTGCCCAGGCTGGCTTTGAACCTCAATCTCAGATCTCAGCCTCCTGAGTAGCTAGTATGACAGGCAGGAGCCACCAGCGCCCGGCAAGCGTAAGAGCTTTTGCTGTCACTGGCATTCCTACCCACAGGCGTGGCATGATGGCACTGGCACCCCAGCCTGCAGCGGGCAAACCACACCAAGAGGCTCTACTGGAAGCGGGTGACACGAGGGCGCCTAGCTGGATTTCGGGGTGCTGGGATCAGGGGCGACAGGCCGTCCAGATGTCTCACCTGCGTCCACTCTGCTGCGTTTCCTCGGGACAGGCCGCACCTGCTCCTTGGCTGGCGGGGTGGGGGAGGTGCTGGCGAGGGTGGGGGGCACAGACGGCTCCAAGGACACAGCACGGGGCGGATCGGTGGGCTTAGAGCCCACCCCGTCTCCACCCTGGTTGGGGGCTGGGAGACTCTTGGGGACGGCCAGGATCACGCTGGTGACCCGCCCCGCAGCGGGCGCCTGGCCGGCCTTCACTCCCTTGGCCTCCGGCTTGCGGGGCTCGGGTAGGGGCATCCCGACGCCACGCTCCATTCCCTGCAGAAGATGACTCTCTCCTCTTCTTCCCTGGTCAGGAGCTCCGTCCTAAGGGAGGAGGTAAACAGGTCAGGGCCTGGGATGGAGCATGGGGCAGCTGAGAAGCTGGGGCAGGACCAGCGGGCCCCACGCCTCTGCTCTGCACCTCCGTCCGGGCAGCCATGGCCTCCCTTCCCCATCTAGGCCGACTGTCAGTAGACACTCAGCAGGCTGACAGTGGAGTTTCTCCCCGGTGGAGGTTTGGCCCTGCAGGTGCAGAAGTGGCGCACTCATAAGTTTGTCCACTTAACCTTCCTGCCCTGGGGTTCCCTGCCAGTCATTCCTATTGGCCCAGTTTACACCAGAGGCCAGAGGCAGAAACCTGATTGGAGGCAGAGGAGGCAGAAGACTTCACTGTTCGTGTGTCCAGGACCTGCCTGGACTCTCTAGCCCTGTGGCTCTCACTTAGATATGGCTTAGGCCAGGTGAGCGCCAGCACTCAGAAGCTTCTATCCTAGTTTGGAGGTCCCAGGATGGCCCAGTCCTTGGGAAGTGCCAGGACTATGGGGGAGCAGCTACCTTTGTTTGCTGCGGCCTCAGCTGAGCAGGCCTGTGGTTATGAGGGTGTTGGGAGCGTTCCTCGGGGTTGGGGGGGGAGAGGGCTGATGGGCCCAGCAGTCATCAGTGTGGGTTGGCCTTCCTGTCATTCTGGGAGGATGCAGTTGGTGGGGGTCTTTCTCAGTCAGTACCCCAAGCAAGGCTGCAGTACCCCCTTTTTTAAGCTTCTGCACTGCAATCGGTGACAATTCTGTGGTTCCAGTTCCTACTGGACCCCCACTTCTGCCCTGAGGTTTCTAGACTGAGAACCCAAGTCCATTCACCAAGGTCTCAGCAGCTGCATGATCAGATGAGGCCGTGGTGAGCATCATTCAGCAAATGAAAAGGAACAGAATTTGGATTTTTTTTTTTAAAGCCAGTAACCAAAGACCAAGTATTACAGGAATTCATTTATAGGAAATGTCCAAGCTGGGCGCCAGTGGCTCATGCCTGGAATCCTAGCTACTCAGGAGGCTGAGGTCTAAGGATTTTGGATTGAAGCCAGCTGGATTTTCTATTTTCTCCTTCCTTCCTTCCTTTTCTTTTTGTTAGTCATAGGGCTTGAACTCTGGGATTGGGCGCTGTCCCTCAGCTCTTCAGCTCAAGGTAAGCGCTCTACCACTTGAGCCACAGTACCACTTCTGGTTTTCTGGTGGTTTATTGGAGATAAGAGTCTCATGGACTTTCCTGCCTGGGCTGGCTTTGAATTGAGATCCTCAGATCTCAGCCTTCTGAGTAGCTAGGATTACAGGAGTGAGCCACCAGAGCCCAGTCAGATTTCCTTTTCTCTTAAATTGCATTCTCCATGTTGTTTAGAATGAACCTGAATTCTTTACCATGGGGAAAATAATAAACTTCAAGGAAAACTTCAGGGGCTGGGAATGTAGCTTAGGGGTAGAGTGCTTGCCTAGCATGCATGAAGCCCTGGGTTTGATTCCTCGGTACCACAAACACCAAAAAGATCAGAAGTGGCGCTGTGTGGCTCAAGTGGTAGAGTGCTAGCCTTGAGACAATGCCCAGGCTCTGAGTTCAAGCCCCAGGACTGGCCGGACAAAAGAAAGAAAGAAAACTTCATCTCCTAGTTTCTCTCTCACTATGTAAAGCTTAGGGGAAAAGAAGGATCCTTGGCAGGGAGCAGGTGGCTCATGCCTTAGCTATTCAGGAGGTTGAGACCTGAGAATTGAGGTTCAAAGCCAGACAGGGCAGGAAAGTCCAAGAGACGCTTATTTCCAATAAACTACTCAGAAAAAGCTGGAAGTGGAGCTATGGCTAGCCCTGAGCCGAAGAGCTGAGGGACAGCGCCCAGGCCCAGAGTTCAGGCCCCACAACCGACAAAACAAAGTAGGGCCAGAAGCATGGCTCAAGTCACAGAGTACCAGCTGAGCAAGCAAATAAAACAAGTATAAGGCCCTAAGATCAAACCTTGGTACTAGCAATGCATTGACACAGAAAATGTTCCCAGAGGCCTCTCTTGTACAGTATGGCGAGGTGAGTGAGGAGACCTCTGCCCACAGCCCGCCCCTCTGGTCCTTCTGCCCCTGGGACTCACCCAGCATCTCCTCAGGGTCCCTTGCCTTAGGCCTCCTTGCCTTGGGCCCTGTCAGGTAGGAGATCCTGTGCTGTCAGCCCTGATGTCTATTACTGCAACCTGGGGCCTTGTCCCGAGTCACCATGGTGTCACTCTGCCCTGGGGAGGCAGTGGCCTCAAGCATTTCCCTGCATGGCCTAGGACTACACAGTTGATGAAAGTCAGGACTAGAGTCTACGCCTGGCTGGCCCAGACCCAGTGTGTCCTTCCCTGACCTTGAGCAGCTGGTGCTTACAGTATGCTCCCCAGGGAGCAGTCCACTATCCTCCTGTGTCTCAAAGGCCAGGTTTTACTTATTTATTTATTTTCCCATGGGGCTTGAACTCAGGGCCTGGGCACTGTCCCTGAGCTCTTTTGCTTAAGGCTAGCGCTCTACCACTTTGAGCCACAGCTCCACTTCCAGTTTTCTGGCGGTTCATTGGAGATAAAAGTCTCACAGACTTTCCTGTCCTAGCTGGCTCTGAACCTCAATCTTCAGATCTCAGCCTTATCAGAGTAGCTAGGATTACAGGCTGAGCCACCAGCGCCCAGCTGCCAGTTTCTTTCTTTCTTCCTCTCTCTCTTTCTTTCCTTCTAACTTTATTTTGTTTTGTTTTGTCTTTTCTGTTTTAGGCCCTAGGGATCGAACCCAGGACATTGTACTTGCTAGGCAAGTGCTTTGCCACTGAGCTACATTGAGTCCTTCCAGTTTCTTTATAGTTGATTAGTTGTACCCCTCAGGGGGGTTTCAAGTCCAACTTGGCCAATGGAGGCCCGCAGAGGGGCCGGGACCCCCGCAGCATCCTGCTTTGGACAGCATCTCCACTTGTGCTGTCCACACACTCTGCCTAGCACTCCTGGCTGCCCGTGATTCTCAGCCTGGCTGTAGTGGCAGTTTCTAGCCATGTCCACACTCTGGATTACCTAGAATTTCCTGCTGGTGTCTTAGTCTTCTCCCAGGAGAGCCATTAAATTCCAGGTAAAGTCTTAGCAAAGCGTCTGTCTTCCCAGTTGGAGTATGACTAATGCCACCTTCTAGATTCTAGAGTTATAACGTCAAGTTAACTTTCCTTTCCTTCATTTCCTCCACCCCTCCCCATTCTAATGCTGAGGTTTGAACTCAGGAGCTCACGCTCTTACTGGGCTTCTTTGTTCAGCTGGCTCTCTACCACTTGAGCAGGCAACATTTTTGCTGGTTATTTCAGAAATGGAGCCTCATAGACTTTTCTATCAAGACTGGCTTCAAATATCTGTCCTCACTGGGTGTCAATAGCTCAGGCCTGTAATCCTAGCTACTCATAAGCTGAGTTCTGAGGATCATGGTTCAAAGCCAGCCCAAGCAGGAAAGTCCATGAGACTGATCTCCAATATACTACCAAAAAAGCCAGCATTGGAGCTGTGGCTCATGTGGTAGAGCACTAGCCTTGAGCAAAAGAAGCTCAGAGGCAGTGCACAGGCCCTGAGTTCAAGCCCCAGGACTGATACAAAGCAAATACCAATCCTCCAATCTCAGTTCTTCTGAGTAGCTAGGACTACAGGAGGGAAGGCCTAGCTTTGGAAAAAACCTCCCAAGCACGGCCAGTGGTGCAGGTTTGTGATCCCACCTGTTTAGAAAGTGAAGCAGTTAAAAAAGTCATTAAAAAAGCAGCCTGTGTGGGGCTGGGAAGATGGCTCAGTGGTAGAGCGCTTGCCTTGCATGCCTGTGGCCCTGGGTTCAATTCCTCAGCACCACATAAGAAAAAAGCCAGAAGTGGTGCTAGAGCGCTAGCCTTGAGCTGAAGAGCTGAGGGACAGCACCCAAGCCCAGAGTTCAAGCCCCATGACTGGACCAAAAAAAAAAAAAAGAAAAGCAGCCTGTGTAACAGCCTGACCTTACCTCCAACAAAGAAGAGGGAAAAAACCCTTCCTGCAGGATCTCAATGGCTCCTCCTTCACCCTCTGCCCTGCCTAATGAACTATGAAACTCAGGGGTGGGCATTGCCTGGTTCCAGAGCCCTGCTGTGACGGCACACGGTCTGTGTGCTGTCATTCCTGAGAGGGGCTGGTGTCCACCCTCTGGAAGATTACCCTGTGCTACTCTAAGACAGCGTCACAAGCCCGGCACCAGTGGCCACTGCTGTATGGACCAGACACCGCTTTGTCGTATGTGTATATGGGTGGGTGTGGGGAGACTGTTCTGCTCACTGTTAACTGCTGTTAACAGCACCCCTGCCCTCTACCTGCTGGACAGGACAGATGCCCCTCAAGTTATGACAACCAATATAGCTGAAAGGTCCCCTGACAGGCAAAACTGCCTGAGAGCCACCGCTTCAAGGCAACTTAAAGGGTGCAGAAGGGGAGATCCCAGCTGGGTGAAGGCTCACACCTGTCATTCTAGCTCTGCAGGAGGCAGAGATGGGGAGGACTACGGTTTGAAGCCAGCTGTGCAGAATATTCTCCAGATACCTATCTCAGCCAATAAGAGCTGGGTGTGATGCCTGTGCCTGCCATGCAGAGATGCATAACTAGAAGGATCGAGGTCTTGGCTGGCCTGGACCAAAAAAAAAAAGTGAGATTCTAGTTAAAAAACGGAATGGGGGCATGGCTGAAATGGTACACTGCCTAACAAACATGAGGCCCTGAGTTCAAATGCTAGTACCACAAAAAGGGAGATTCTAGCTAACGGGAGGCCCCTACCTCACATCTCCTGCTCTAAAATGACTCATGAGGGCCCCCCCCAAACCCCGTGTGCTAAAGGGCTGAGTGGGAAGGGACCATTAAGATGTGAGCATGGTGGGAGGTATTGGGGAGGGCGTGCCCTTGAGAGGAAGAGGAATCCCTGCTTCTTCCTCTCTCTTGCCTCCGGACCCTGAAAAGGACCATATGCTCCTCACTACTGCTATACAGCACTGCTGCCAGATGCCCAAAGTGCTCTCACAGTCCTGGACTGAAATCTTTGAGCTGTAAGCCAAAGTTAACCTCTTGTCTTTATAAGTTAGTTCCTGGACATATTTTGTACTTACAGAAAGCTAACAATGCACCCCAAGTCATCCTAGACTAGAATCTCAGCTAGTTTTACTCCTTCACCTGGCCTAATGCATCTTCAAATCTTCGTCTGTGTACCTGATTGCACCTGCCTTCCATCTGAGACCTTCCTCTTCAGCACAGCAATGCTCAGCAATACTTCAATGTGCACTCACGCCAGTTCTCTCCAAAGGTTGCCAGCAAGTTCCTCTTCTATTTATTTCTTTGTTTGTGCTGGGTCCTGGGCTTGAACTCAGGGCCTGGGTGCTGTCCTTGAGCTTTTTTGCTCAAGGTTAGGGCTCTACCACTTGATCTACAGCTCCATTTCTGGCTTTTTGGTAGGTAAGTGGAGATAAAGAGTCTCATAGACTTGTCCTGTCCAGGCTGGCTTTAAACCTGGGTTCTCAGATCTCAGCCTCTGGGGTAGCTAGGATTACAGGCAGGAACCACTTGGCAGGTTCCTCTTTTTAAAGCTGAAGCTTCCTCAGGCATCTAAAGCATACCTCTAGCTCTGTGGCTTACTCAGCATGGCCAGCTCCACACGGTCTAGCCCCAACGTCAGACACAGACTTCTTCCACTAGTCTGATTTAGTGGCTTTTGGGAAAGGAACCAGATAAACCTAACCAAATCACACCGGAAAAAAAAAAATCTAAATCACATTCCAGAAACGACGCTGGCCCTGGAAAGCGCCAGCAGAAATGGAAGTTTACGTGTGGTTATCTGGTTGTAGGGGTCCGTCAGACCTCCCACTAGGCCCCCCATTCCCGGGTTCGCGTGTTGGCCGGCATGGAATGGGTGGGGATGGAATGGATGCGCGTGCAATGGATCCGAGGAGGGCCGAATCATCTGCGTCACGTGCACTGGGGTCTGCGGCTCCCTTTGAAAACTTGAGGTGCAGCCATCCAACCTCGGGCACCACAGGGTCTGCACACGGGGCGCGTTTCTCAGACATGAAGTTTGAAAGCCGTCACCGGCGCAAAGTGCAAGGTCACTGGGGCCCGGGGACGCGGAGATGGGGGCGGGGGCACCGCGGGGGGGCGGGCGGCGAGGGCGGGGAGGCCCCCGATCTGGGGGTGTCGGCTTCAGGCCAAGGGGCTGAGGGGAAAGAGGACGAGGAGTTAGGAGGCGAAGCCCGGGCGGCCCACAGGGAGGCGGCGGCACCCGTGACGCAGGCCCGGACCCCCCCCAGCACCGCCCGCGGGGCCCGGGGCGCCCATCCGCCGGACGGGACCCTCCCCGCCCGCTGGGGCCCGTCCTCACCGACGGCAGCCGGCCCTCCCTCTCCCGCGACGGGTCCCTGGCCTCGGCCGCTACAGCCGCAGGCGTCGACCTGGAGGCCCCGGCCACTTGGGCCACCACAACCCCACAGCGCCGGCTCCCAGCCTCCAATGGCCCCTTCGAGAGCGCGCCCTGTGCCCTGCGCGTGCGCGCGCGCGCGCGCGCGGCCCCGAAGCGGTGCGGACCTCTCGGAACGCCCCAGAGCCCCCCCCCCAGCGAGCATGCGCAGTAAGGCTGCGCAGCCGCTCCTGGGATAAAGTCCTTTTCTCTGGTTCTTCCCAGGGCGCCGCCGAGCTGACGGTCGTCCCAGCCAATGATCGTGCAGGGGCGGGGCCGTTCATCTCGAAAGAGGCGGGGCCACCCTGGGATTGGGTAGGGGAGATCAGGGGCGGGGCTAGGGCGGGATTTGTGGCTGGGACTGGGGTTTGCGGGGTGTGAGGCTCCATTTCTGAGGTGGCTATTGTCCATTGGTCTGGCTTCTTTGGAGAGACATCTGATGCCTTTATGCATTTTTAAAAACTGGGTTGTCATTGAGTATGATTATTTATTTATATATCCTAGCTATGCATCTTTCATCAGATATTTGATCCAGTTCAGGTGATGTCTTTTGAACCATAAAAGTTCTTCAATCGATGTCCAATTGATCATTGTTCTGTGTGATTTTGATTTTGTGGTTCTGGGGATTGCATGGGAGCCTTGAGCTTGCTGAGCTGGCACCTCCAGCTCTGTTTCAGTTTGTTTTGTCTTGTTTGTTGGTGGTGTTGAGGATCCAACCCATACCACATCTCACTACATACCCACTCAGTATCCAGACTGTCTACTGAGCCATTCTCTAACACTTGTGTTTCTTTATTTTTTAATTTTTTTTTTGTCTGTGGTGGGGCTTGAACTCTGGGCCTGGGCACTGTCCCTCAGCTCTTCAGCTCAAGGCTAGCACTCTACCACTTGAGCCACAGCACCACTTCTGGTTTTCTGAGTGGTTGGAGAAAGAGTTTCATGGTCTTTCCTGCCTGGGCAGCTTTGAACCTCGACCCTCAGATCTCAACCTCCTGAGCAGCTAAGATTACAGGCGTGAGCCACTAGCGCCCAGCAGTGCTTGCATTTCTGACAGCACCTCATGATCTAGCTCAGATTGGCCTTGAAATCACTATGGAGCCTAGACTGACCTGGATCCTGGGATCTTCCTATCTGCACCTCTGAAATGCTGGGATTACAGAAGCTAACCCCTACACCTGGCTCATTTTTCCCCCTATTTTGCTTGTGCTGTGCTGTGCACTCTCTGTGTGTGTGTGTGTGTTGGTATTGGGACTTGAACTGAGGGTTTGGGCACTGTTTCTTGGCTTTCTTGTTCAAGGCTTGCCTTTTACCACATGAATCACATGTCTATTTCTGGCTTTTTGGTGTTTAATTGGAGATAAGTGTCTCAGACTTTCATCTCTGTTCTAGCTTCTGACCCAGTGCTCAGATGTCAGCCTCTTGCAAAGCTCAGATTATAAACGTAAGCCACCCCCTTTCTAGGTCTTAGACTCAGAGCCTTGTGATCTTGCTTGGCTTGCTTGCTTGCTCATGGCTGATGTTCTACCAAATCAGCCATACCATCAGTCTGGCATTTTTGCTGATTAATTGGGGCTATAGTTTCATAGACTTTCCTGCTCAAGCTGGCTTTGAACCTCAATCCTCGGATCTCAGCCTCCTGAGTGGCTAAGATTACAGGTGTGTTCAGGATATTACTTTGCTCACTAGTACTGGCCATTCTCCAAGCCCAGATGTGCTTGCCATCCCCCATATGGCTCTAGTCACACACACACACACACACACACACACACACACACACGGACACTCACCAAAGGATAAATCAGTGGATTCTATTTAAACATAGAACTAGCAGAAGTTTCCAGGCAAGAAGAAGTTTCCATGTAAAAGAAATATAGCAAAATGCAGATGCTAGTTGGTTTTGAAAACATCCTATTTAACAATAAACAGCTTCTACATCCTACACTGAAAAAAAAAAATAACCTGAAGGCTTCTTTGTACTCAGAGGTGATTTTCAAAGAATAAGGAAACCAAAGGCCAGAAGCTTTGTGGAGGAGCCTGGTGGAGGGCTGGAGGAAGGGAACTGCTTCCTTCATGTTTAATCCAGCCTGGTGGCAGCCAGTGGGCTAGGGGAAAGGCTCAGTGCCACCTCACCCAGAAGAAGCGAGGTGCGGGCTAGGCAGGGAAGTAACCTTCTGATCGTGGGAGGCCCCAGCAGGTGGGCGTCTGAGGCCTCCCAGGGACAGGCCCCTGGAGGGAATGGCCTGGCTATCCAGGGTCTGGGCCTTGAGCTCCCACTGGCCCCATTCTAAGGGCAATAGGAAGAGGAAACCTTGGAGCCACCCACCTAGTTATCTTCAGTGGCTCATTTTCCAGGCCAGAGGGGTCTAGAGCGGCGAAGCCTGGGGTTAGAAGCCATAGAGGATGGTTCACCTGCTCTGGTTACTCTGGAGAGGCGAGAGGCACGTGAAGGCTGGTAGAGGGAGGAGGGCTCTAGGCTGGTGGGATTGGAGCCAGGTCCCAAGAACCCAGAATCCTGGAATGTTAAAAACCCATCTGCAATGGGAAATCGCATAGGGCTGGTTAGCCCAATGAGCTCCCTTCCCATAACTTAGCATGTTCCTTCCCCTCTCTACGGCTTGGCATGCTCCCTTCCTAGACAACACTAGGCCCCTGTAGTAAAGGCAGTAAATAATCAGCCTCCAAACCCTTTACCTTGAGCTGGCACTCTTCTGGGGCAGCCACCACCCTCAAAGGCAGCAAGAGCTCCTTCGAGTGACCTTCAGGTCTGGGCAGTTGCAGCAACCCTTATCTACTATTTGGATCCCAATCCTAAATCCTAGTCCACCATGATGAAGCCCCTGAGCCTCATATCCACACCAGGGTCTCTGCCTCCTGGTCCCTTCTAGCCTCTCCTAGCCTCAGAAGGTTATATAGATCACCTCAGAAATAGCTGGTGCCTCTTCTCACTCCTCTCTTGTGGGAAGGGGTCTTGGCAGCCCCTTTACTGGCAGTAAGCCTTTTCTTTGCTCTTTGTGCCTGGATGTCTGTGCGGTTTTCTGGCAATCTAAAATACTTTAACAGGGCTCCTTATTTTCTCCCTTTGAATATGTCTTTTCTTACAAAAAGTAACATGCTTGATCTTTTTGAAAACAAACCTCCGCTCCACTCCCCATGGGCTTCTAAGAGCCCTGTGGACAGCTCCTCCCCTCGTTCCCCTCTCCCAGTGATGGTCCTCCAAGGATCCACGGCTCCACCATTGGCAAGGTTACAGGGACGCAGTGGACGGGGCCAGGTGCCCAGCAGCCTTTTCTGGGAGCAGGATGGGAGCCACTGCAGCCAATCCGCTGTGTTCTTTGGTGTCAGCATCTGGAGGGGAGGCAGGTGGGTCAGGCTGGTGGTAAAGGACCGGGGCTGAGAAGGGCTGGTCCTGGACATCCCAGGACCCAGCCTGTGCTGGGAGCCCCCTACCTGGCCTGGCTCTAAGCACTCCTCCAGGCTGGGTGGGGTGGGGTACATTCCCAGGCCAGAGCCTCTGATGATTGACTTAGAGAAATAATCTCCACTCTAGGGACCTGAAGGGCCTCAACCCAAGGGCAACAAAGGCTGTTGAGTTAATTCCAAAACATTTGGGGAAGCTGCTGCTCTGCCTACTACTGAGCCTGGCGGCTGGCCCTGTGGCCAGGGGTGGCCCTCCCTCTGCATGTCCCCTGCAGAAGCCTGGCTACAGAGGGACCCCAGAGATAGCCGTGTCCTACCCATAACGGTGAGGAGGGGCTGGGAAGGTGGCTTAGTGGTAGAGCACTCACCTTGAGCTGAAGAGCTGAGGGACAGCGCCCAGGCTCAGAGTTCAGGCCATACAACCGGACCCCCCCCCAAAATAAAAGAAAAACCAGTGGGGAGAACCAGTCCCCAGTCAGACCCTAATCCCCTCTCTCTGTGGCATCAGCTCCTGGCCAACCTCCCACTCCCACATGGGCTCCTCTTCAACCCCACAGGTCCTGGAGACTCCACCCTCCACGCCTGGGCTGCTGAATCTCAAGGGTCAGTCACATGGAAGCACTCAGAGAACTGACAGGCAGGATATGCCTCAGGTCAGGTCCCCTCTGACTCCCCAACAGGACTCCCATGGGTGTGGGAGCCCCCAGCAGGACATGGAGACAGAGTCCTTTGGTCCCTGAGAGTTCCAGGCCGTGATTCGGGGTATCTAGGGGCTCTGTGCCTGGCTGTCAGATGAGCGCCCAGCTGAGCCCAAGGGGCTCCCCTGCACAGTGAGGAAACCCTGTCTTTTCAGGTCCTGGCAGACTTCACTGGAGTTTGGAAAAGCCTTGGAAAAGCCAGCACAAGGCCACCCAGTCTCTGGCTTCTCTGAGTCCCAGTGCCCAATACCATTCCGGAAGTGGAGACAAAGCAGCTAACTGCAGAAACGAAGGCGCTTTCTACACTGGCCATGCATGGCTTCTAGAACATGTGGAAGGTACACAAGGCCAGGCCCCCAGCTCCACCTACAGACAGAGTAGGGGTGTGAGGTGTGCAGGCTGCAGGGGAGGAGCCTGGGGGGGCATGGACACCTGGAAGCAATGGCAGGGGCAGAGTCAGGATCTCCAGCTCTGAAGGGATGCACAGCCAGCACCCACCACCCCAGGGCCACCACCTCCCACGTGTGCTCAGAGGACTCAGGGTCGAGGGCCAGGAGGCCAGAATGAGCAACAGAGACGCTTGGGACAGACGTCAATCCTCTGTGTGGGCAGCTTTGACAAGGGACCAGAGGCCATCTTGGTGTGTGTGTGTGGTTCTCTGAAACTCACCCAGGCCCAGCTTGCTGCGCTTCTGTTGGGGATCGGGGGGAGCTGCCTCAATGGCCCGCTGAGCCTCTGGGTGGGTCTTGAGGAGGGCCTTGGCCAGCGTGGCAGGGCCTGGCGCGCCCAGGGCCATGATGCAGTGCACACCTTTGCGCTTGGCCCCAGCCACTTTGGCGCTGTCTTTGGAGGCTGTCAGCAGGACCAGCTTGGAGAACTTCCTGGGCTTCCTGGGGGCAGCGGGGAGCACAGCTTTGCCAGGCTCCGAGGGCTCCGGGTCAGCCTTCACATCTGGCTCACTGGGTTCAGGCAGGGGCATGCTGAGCCCGGCCGCGCCTGGGCTCTCCGGCAGCGCCAGACCCCCAGCAGACATGATTCACCTCCTCCTCCTCCTCTTCTTCCTCCTTGCTGGCCAGGTTACTGGGGCTCCCAGGCTCTGTCCTAGGGGAGGAGGCAAGCCAGTGAGTGAAGGAAATCCTTATTCCTCAGGCTCCAGCAGGTAGATCTACGGAGGATCTAGTGGATGGAGTGATTTCACTTTCCACAAATCTCTGTTCTCAAATTGTAATGTTCATGACCTCATCTTTTTTTTTGCATGAATTAACCTTTACAACAGGAAAAAACTTAACATTTAAAAAGGCTAGGGCTGGGAAGGTGGCTCAGTGTTAGAGTGCTTGCTTAGCATGCATGAAGCCCTGGGTTTGATTCCTCAGTACCACATAAGCAGAGAAAGCCTGAAGTGGTTCTGTGGCTCAAGTGGTAGAGCGCTAGCCTTGAGTATAGAGAGGCTCAGGGACAGTGCCCAGGTCCTGAGTTCAAATCCAGAACAGGCAAAAAAAAAAGGCTAGTGGTGTACATTTTGCAATTCTAGTTATATGGAGAGAATCATAGTTCCAGGCTAGCTTGGATAAAAAAGGACAAAAATAACTAAAGCAAAAAGGGCTGGTGGCTTGGTTCAAGATGCAGTAGACTTACTCGTTTAGCAACGGCAAAGCCCTGAGTCCAAATTCCAGTACCACCAATAAAATCAATCAACCAATCAATCTATAATTACTCACAAGGCAATTTTTTTCATTAGTCCATTATTCAGAGGGAAAAAAAAGAGTCTCTATTCAGATATGACATAATACACAAGAGAAAATGAAGGTGGGTGCTAGTGGCTCGTGCCTGTAAATCCTACCTACTCAGGAGGATGAAATCTGAGGATCATGGTGGAAGCCAGCTGGGGCAGAAAAATCTGAGATATTATCTCCAATTGGCTGTCAAAAAAAAGCTGGAAGTGTAGCTGTGGGTCAAGTAGTAGGTTGTCAGCCTTCACACCATTCTGGCATTAAAAACAGACACAACACAAGCTGACAGAGATAAAGGAGTGATCTGGAAACCTGGGTGGAATGGTGAGAGAGGGTGGGAGGCAGAGCGTGAGTCGGCCCCTCTGGCTCTCCTCCAAGTCCTGCACAAAAGCACCCTGAGTCCGGAACAAGATCCTGTGATATCAGGGTCAGACCTTCCAAGTAGGTGATCAGGATTATAACCCCTTCCCCCCCCAAAAAAAAAATAAAACAATCCCTAAACCACACTGATCTAAAGAACTGAATACAAACGCCCTCTTCCAGGAGGTGGCGCTACGTCTTCTCTCTGGATTGTCAGTAGGCTTCAGCGACTTAGTTCCAAGAAGAGGGAACCGTAAAAATAAATTAAAAATAGCCAACGCACCGGGGAGACAGCTCCTCAGCCGGTGATCAAGAGCAGCACAAGCGACAAGGCACGGGGATGCCGAGCCTCAGGTGGCCGGCGTGTGATGACAAGGGCCCCTCAGCCCAGGACTCTTTCCCACAGAGTTCAGGGTAGATCAAGCCCAGCATCACACCACAGGCAGGACCCAGGGGTATTATTCCCACACTGTCAGGTCTGTGGGAGACAGAGGGGCGTCCCTAACCACGTCCAGGTCCTAATTCCTGACAGTTTCACCTTATCTGAGGAGATGCAGAAGGAAGGATGCAGATGGAATTAGAGTTGCTCACCAGGAGTTCACTCTGGATTATCCTCAGGCTTAATCACTGGGCTGCTTCTAAGTGGAAGAGGGAGGCAGAAGACTGGGAGAGACGCATGATGACGGAGGCAAGGTCCACAGAGATGTGGCTTTGAACATGGAGAAGGACCACAAGCCAAGGGATGCAGCCCCACTCATCTTGCCCGTGTGTGTGTGTGTGTGTGTGTGTGTGTGTGTGTGTGTGTGTGCTGGCACTGAGGATTGAACTAAGACCCTCTCATTCTTTTTTTTTTTTGCCGGTTGTGGGACCTGAACTCTGGGCCTGGGTGCTGTCCCTCAGCTTTTCAGCTCAAGACTAGCGCTCTACCACTTAAGACACAGCACCACTTCTGGCTTTTTCTGCTTATATGGTGCTGAGGAATTGAACCCAGGGCCTCATGCATGCAAGGCAAGCACTCTACCACTAAGCTACCTTCCCAGCCCGAGCCTTTCATTCTTGCTTGACTTTTCCACTCAAGGCTGGCACTCTACCACTTGAATCAGACCTCCACTTTCACTTTTCTTTTCTTTTCTTTTTTTTTTTTTGTCAGTCATGGGGCTTGAACCCTGAGGTTTTTCACTCAAGGCTAGCACTCTATCATTTGAGTCACAGTGTTCTGTTTTTCACTGGAGATAAGTCTCACAGCTTTTCCTGTCCAGGCTGGCTTTGAACTTCAATCCTCAGATGTTAGCCTCATGAGTAGCTAAGATTACAGAAGTGAGCCACTGGCACCCAGCTCACTTCTAGCTTTTTGCTGGTTAATTGGAGATAAGAATCTCACAGACTTTCCTGACCAGGATGGCTTGGAACCTCAGATTTCAGCCTCCTGAGTAGCTCACATTACAAGGTGTGAGCCTGGTGGCTTTACACTTCCATTTTTCCAGTGACACCCACGACAGACATCCAGCTTCCGTATAACTGTGGTTTAACTGTGGTTCTGTTCTAAACCACTTAAATTTGTAGCAATCTGTTCATGGCAATCACAGGAAAATAATACAAGGTCTAACTAACCTCACCAGGAGCTGGAACCTTGCCTGGCTCCTTCTTCAGGTCATCAGAATGATCTTCATAGGAAGACAAACCCCTTCCCATTTCTGGGCTGATTTCATGTGTTCTGGGATTAGTGATGAAGGGAGCAGAGGTTGTTAATAAGCGAGATGTGAAGGGTTGTGAACGTTTTGTTTTGTCTTTTTGCTTGCAAAGTGGGCTAGCCCCAGCTGCTCCCGGCGATCTGTGGGAAGCGTCCACGAAGGACACGCATGACCGGGCTTCTGAAGGGATGATGCGACACGCAGTGCCCAGGGCAGTGGGAGAAAAGACGGTGCGCTTGGGGGTACCCGAAGGTCCTGGGCTGTACTCTACAGGTGTGGGATACTGAGCTGGAGTTTTCACCAGGTGATTATTTCTCCCTCAGCACCAGGGCCCAGAATCTTCCCGACAGGACTGCCGTGGGGGGCCGTCCAGGCTGCACGCAGACGGCCCCCCGGCTCCCCAAGGCCGCTCCGGGCCTTCGATCGTCTCCCCAGCCTCCAGCCCTCAAACCTCCGACTCCCAGCCTCCGGGGCCGAGATGGGACAGGACCAGGTGGGGGCGGCGCACCCTGCACGGGGCGGGAAGGCAGGGGCTCTCGGAGGGGTGGGGGGCGTCAGGCCCGGGGGGTCCTCGAGGAGGCGAGCCGAGGAGGCAGAACCCGGCACGCCGGGGCAGGGGCACCCTCCCCAGCCCCCCGGACCCCGCAGAGCTGGGCGGGGGGGTCGTCCATCGCGGGACCGGGCCCTCCCCGCCCGCTGGGGCCCGTCCTCACCGACGGCAGCGGGCCCTCCCTCTCCGGCGACGGAGCCGCGGCGGGTTCCCTCCGCCTCAATGCTCAGGGCACCCCCCCCCCACCTCGGCTCCGGCCGTCACCTCAATCTGGGGTCAAGGCGCGAGCATGCGCGGTAGGGCTCCAGAGCCCATTCCTCACAGGACTCCGCTTCTCCGGGTCTTCCCCTCGCGGCAGCGGGCTGACGGACCGACCAATCGGCGCGCGGGGCGGGATCGAGGGGGCGTGGCGGCAACGGATTGGGTGTTGTCGGAAAGGGGCGTTTCCTCCGCGGGGCCCGCAGCCTGGATTCCGGTTTCCGGTCTCCGCGGCGGCGCTCGGCCCTGGCGGCCCGCCCGGCCCCCGCGCCCTGGCCCCGGCCTGGCCGTTTGAGCACCGGACCCTTGTAGTTCTATAGCAGCCCGGTGCCGTGGGCACCAGGGTGCGTCTGGGCGCAGCCCGCAGCGGCTGCTGCAGCTCCGCGCTCCGCTGAGGCCCCCGGGAGCCTCGGGCTCCGAGCGCCCCGGCCGGGCCGCGGGGAGAGGCCGCGGGCGCCCTCGGGGCGAAGGGGCTGCCCCGCGCTGGGTCCACCGCGAGCCCCCCCGAGCCGGTTTCACTCCTTAGCAACACCGAGGGACCTTCCGAACTTATTTTATCTCCCTTTGGTGGGCCGCGGGGCTGGAGCCCAGGGCCCTGGGCGGGCTCCGTCCCCTCAGCCCTTCGCAAGGCTAGTGCGCTACCACTTTGAGCCACACCGTGTTTCTGGTGGTTTCATTGGAGATCCCAGTCTCTCGAACTGAACCGCTCAGGCTGGCTTCCAACTGCGATCCTCAGAGCTCAGCCTCCTGAGTAGCTAGGATGACAGGTGTGACTCTCTGGCACGTTTGATTTCATTTTTGCCGGTTGGGGATCCAACGCAAGGCCTTTCCCACTCTAGGTAAGCTACCCCTTCACATTTTTTTTTTTTTCTTCGCTGGTGCTGGGACTTGAACTCTGTGGGCCTGAGTGCTGTCTTTGAGCTTTTGTGCTCAGGACTAGCACTCTCCCACTTGGGTCACAGCTCCACTTCTGTCTTTTTGTGTTGTTGTTGGAGATAAGAACCTTAGTGACTTTTCTGCCTGAGCTGGCTTTGAACCATTGATCCTCACATCTCAGCCTTTTGGGTAGTTAGGATTCCAGGCCTGAGCCACCAGCGCCTGACTTGTTTCTGTCTTTCTCTGGTGCTGCAGATTGTACATCTGAAAGCCAGCCCTCCCCTGAGTGGCATCCCCAGCCCTCCGATGATGAGCGTCTTTTTAAGACAAAGGGGACAGGAAATGGAGGCAGACATACAGGCCAGTGGAGGAGTCTGAGTACAGAGGCAGAGACATGAAGGGAGACAGGCGATGCTGGAAGAGCTGAGGAGGGCATTTCCCCAGAACTTGCAGAGGAAGTGAGCACTCCTGACACCCTGATTTTGTACTTTTTTCTTCCAGGATTGTGAAAGAATAAACTTAGTTGCTCAAAGCTACCCAGTTCATGGAGGCCTACAGGAAACCCTTACTTGCACTTAAAATGGTCTGTGGCAAACAGTCAGGGGTGATGGGATTGAAAGACTACGTTTGACTGATTGTTTGTTCAGCTGCTAAGACATCTACGTACAAAATTTAGGAAAGCCACAAAAGCTGGTGGCATGAGCCACTGGCACCGGCTGCCCTAGTCCTTTTGAGAAAGCCTAGTGGACAAAATGCAGCAGGTAGAATATGACACCAACACCTTACCCTGGAGACGGCAGTGTGGAGTCTGGATTTTTCTGACCTGCTGCAGCTCAGGCTTGGCAACTTTAGAAATGTGGGAACAGGTCATACCTATGAATGTATAAGTAATTTTCTAAAAACAAGGTAGCACAGGAAAAGTTGGAATGGCCTGGTTCACATGAGAGAACCATTGTTAGGACTGAAAAAACATAAAAGTTATTTAAAATATTGCCTACTGGGGCTGGGGAGGGAGCTCAGTGGCAGAGTGCTTGCTTAGTACTCCTCTCTGCTGGGACCCAGACGCTAGCAGCCACGGGACTGGGGAGGCTTTGGGGAAGGGTAGCCGGCTGTCCTGGGAGGGTGTGGAGGAGGGGATGAGGGCTCCCAGAGAAGGACCCCTAGAAGGCAGAGTCAGTCATATCTAGCCACAGGGTAGGACTCTAGAGCTCGTAAGGACAGTGGCCCACTTCTAAGGTGAGGAACCAAGTCCAGGCTGTTCTAGGCACTTAGCTTAAGATCTCTGGAAGAAGCCGGAAGTCCTGAGTTTCAGGTGGTTTCTTCCTGTCTCAGAACTTTGCCGTCTAGGCTCTATGTTTACTTGTAGTCAAGGAACTGGTCTGGCCCCAGGGCCCTCTGCCAGTGGCTCTGTGTTTACTTGTAGTCAAGGAACTGGTCTGGCCCAGGGCAGAGTGCCCGGCAGGGAGAGTAAGGACTTCCTGGTCTCCCCTGAGGGCCCAGACAAGCTCCCACTGCTCCCTTCCCTGCCGAGGAAGCAGGAAAGAGAAACCTCAGGGACTTTGCTTACTTAGCAATCCAGGGCTTTTTTTTCCAGGCACAGCAGGACCGAGGGCTGTAAGGATTGGAGGTGGGTGCTGAAGGACCCAGGATCCTGCAGGTTAGAGTCTAGTTCTAGGGGGAAAAAAAAAGCCAGGCATCTGATAAGCACATCTAATTGTGTTTAATGAAACTTCTTACATTGTTCACGCTCAAAATTTGGAATGTGTACTGTGTGTTGTCAGCGGCCTTCCTGTCACAGTACACCAGGGCCTGGTTAACAATTGTATCTTTAAACAATTTTTTTTTGGGGGGAGTTGGAATCCAGGGCTTCACACTGAATAGGCAGCCATCATTTTATTTTATTCTCATTCATCATCTTTACCTGAAAAAGAGAGGCAGGTCAGCTGAGCCACTGAGGAGGGGGAGGGGTGGGGAAGGTGCCGAGGGAAGAGGAGGGTGCTGAGCACCCCAGAGGGACCCCGCCCCTTCTTGCACACCTACCCTGAGCAGTCCACCAACACCCCCACCCCTCCTGTTACTCATGGGAACCTTGGCTGCAGATCCATCCCAGGTCTGCCATGGAGAGCAAAGTCCTTACCTTATTTGTGATATAATAAGTGACAGCACCAACAATGACCACCGCCACCACAGCTCCAATAAACCATGCCACAGGTCCGGTAAAGGTCGCCTTCACAGTTACTGTCTTCAGCAGTGACTAGTAGAAGAAAGATGGGCCCCTGACCTCCCTAGCTCCATGCCCATCCCCACAGCTGGGGGGCAAGAAGGGGGTCTACAGGCTCAGGTCCCTTAGGACACAGGAGCAGGGACGATCACAGTGACCCTGGAGATGGCTCTGTCCCACCCAGCTGCCAGGGAAGAACAAGCTCCCAACAGACGCAAACTGCCCTTCCCTCCCCCCTGGCCTTAGATGAGTGCGCTTCCCTCAGGGCCGGGGACCCCACCCTGCACCAGGCTGATACTCAGACTGGAGGTGGGCAAGGTGGCATGCCCCAGAGGGGCCTTGTGGCTCCTTGGGTCATGTTCCCTCTGATTGATTGCTCAGCAAGGTTCCCAGAGGCCTGGGCCCCCATCTGGGTGGAGGCCCAGGGAGCCTTGTGTCCTCTGACAGCTGCAGGCCCTCGGTCAGGGATAGCCCATCTCAGGTGCCCTGGGGCATCTGCCCGTGGGAAGGCAACGGAGTGCCTGCCCTCACTGCCCATGGGAGGCCTGTAGGGGCCTTTGGTTCTCACCAAGGAGATTGAAACGGCAGACTCCGTTCCCACCATCTTTGAGACAGTAGAGCGCTCAGTCCTGTAGGGAGGAGAGTCCAGGTCACCTTCCACCCTTGCCCTGACTCCCTGGGGACCATGAAGCCCAGCCCATGGCAGGGCCCCATTTGCCCTGCCTACCACCCCCTAGCTGTTCCTGTGCTTGGTAGGAGCACCTAGACAGAGGGCACAAAGGAATGGCCTCGAGACCATGGGCTGCCCCAACCCACCCTCCATGTGGCCTCTGAGTGGCCTCTGCCTGCGGCTGGGCCAGCTAGAAACCCCTCAAGAGGTACAGGGATTGCCTACCAAGGGCCCAGTCTCCCATACACCCCTTTCTATTGCTCTTGTCAGTTGCTTGCCCGGATGTACACAGGAGTGGTCACTAAGCTGCCCTTCACCTGCCCCTCCCCTGTATCCCCCCCCCCACTCCTGTTTCTGGATAGTTCCAACAGGGGAGGCAGCTAGGAAGTTGGAACAGGAGCTCTGCAGTCCCTACAAGGTCCCTAGCTGCCTGTGAGTGCGTCTCTGGTCATGCCCTCCTTAAGCTACAACCCAGGCCGACTCCTGTCAGGGTCCCGGTGGCCTGTGGGATGGTGTCAGCCCCGGCCTCCCACTTTCTCATTCCTCAGTCATCTTGGAAAGCAGTCTGCCCTCAGAGGGCGGCTCCTCAGAATCTCTCCTCTGCACCCCAGGGTCCCCACATGCATGCTGAACATGGTTCTCTGGGTCCTTAGAAGACACTGCCACTTCCTTCTTGTTGTCAGCCCGTTCCTCTGCTGCCTGCATGCCTCCTCTGCCACAGGGCCCCCACAGAACCTCAAGGCACCTTTGGGTCCTGGGGATGTGGAAGGCAGAGGACTAGGTGGCCGGCGTGGGTGTAAAGAAAATAGTAGGCTTTTAACACTTTCTCTGCCATTCCCTCCCCACTTCTTTCTTAGCACCCCCAAATCTCATGACACCTTGTGGCTGACCCTGCCCTGGCCTGGCAACTCCTGGTGGATGGAAGGCCTGATTTAAAAAAAAATTAGCATACATGGCCAGTACCAGCGGCTCATGCCTATATTCCTAGCTATGTAGGAGGTTAAGATCTGAGGATCACAGTTGGAAGCCAGCCCAGGCAAGAAAGTCCATGAGACTCTTATCTCCAATTAACCACCAAAAACGAGTTGGAGCTTTGGTTCAAGTGCTAAGAGTGCTAGCCTGAAGTGGAAGAAGCTAAGGGTCAGCACCTAGGCTCTGAGTTCAAGCCCCAGTACAGGCACAATAAACAAATAAAATTAGCATATATTAGTTATACAAGGGGGAAGGAAGGAAGATCTTGATTCATGCCTGTTTCACCTGGGCTGCCCCTTCATTGAGGCCTTCATCAGCCGGAACCCCCCGCCCTCGGGCCTGCACGTTCCCAACTGCATCCAATAATGAGCCATCCATGCAACCCCCACGTCGTGGACATGGTGCTCCCACCCTTACCTTGAGCTGTGTTCAGTTCCAGAAGATTCTTAATTTGGTGCCAGGAGCTGAAAACGAGTCAGAGTAACTGCCTTTGCCCCACCCATTTACTTTCCGGAAATAGCTTAGTCTACAGATTTGGTGTTAAGCAATGAATGTCACTGAGTTTCACTTGGTTTCTTTTTCAGCTGCTTTGAGATAAAAACTAATAAAGATCTAGTAATAAAGTTCCTTAAAGTACCAGTTGGGAGCCAGGCACTGGTGGCTCACACCACTAATCCTAGCAACATAGGAGGCTGAGATCTGAGGATCGGGGTTCAAAGCCAGCCCAAGCAGAAAAGTCTATCAGACTCATCTCACTGTGCTACTTCTGGCCTTTTCTGTTTATGTGGTACTGAGGAATTGAACCCAGGGCTTCATGCATGCTAGGCAAGCGCTCTACCACATAGCCACATTTCCAGCCCCATGGAGCGCTTATCTCCAACAAACCACTCAAAAAAATTAGAAGTGGCACAGTGGCTCAAGTGGTAGAATGCTCTCCTTGAGCAAAAGCAGCTCAGGGACAATACCCAGGCCCAGAATACAAGCCCCAGAAACCCGCCCCTCACCCCCCAAAAAAAGAAAAGAAAAAAAGCAAATTAAAAACCTATATGTCAGGGTCAGATTGGGTAGCACACCATCTAAAGTCTCAAAATCATCTTGCGGATATTGTAAAGTACTGCCTGCCTAGTTAAAAAAATCCGTTAAGTTTCGGTTTCCCCATGCTGTACCATTTCCCCAGTGTGATGCACAAATCCCATTACATTCTTCTGAAGGTGACTCCTCCCCCAATTCTGGCAGCCCACATAATGTGACTCATGACTGTCCACTCCCTGAATTTTAAATTTCACTCACACCTGTTGACAGCTGCTGCCTCCATTCCCACTTAGAACAGCCTGGCAGGTCTGTCCCCCCCAAAAGTTGACCCCGTTATCGGTCCCTTGCCTCTCATTTCTTACACACACCTCTAAATCCAGATACTTGGCAGAGATAGGAAGATCAAGGTCCAAGGCCAGGCTGGGCAAAAGTGTGAGATTACCTGATTAAAGAGATTCAAAGCAAAAGGACTGGGGGACATGTGGCTAAGGGGTGAAGTCCTTGGCACTGAGTTCAATCTCAGGCAGGCTTCCCAGCCTCACCCCACCCCTCACAAAAAATCCTGCACATGAGGCTCCGAGGGTCCTCTTTTTTATTCCCCTTTTTATGCCACAGTGCTCTCAGGACTTGGGGTCCTGGCACTGGCTCTCTACTGTCAGGAGAAACTGGAGGAATGAGTTGCATCCAAGACAGCTTCCTAGGGCAGAGAGCAGAGCTGCTGGAGCACAAGGTGTGACAGTGGTACCCTCTCTAGTTTCCCTATGGGAGAAGGGGCTTTTTTCTTTGGCAAGTCATTTTCTGTATATTCTGGATATTAACTTGGCAGATATATGACTTGTAAGACTTTTCTTCCATTCAGGGACGGATTAAAAGTATAGATTTTCTACTTAGAATGTTGAAAAAGTTCTGGAAATGGATATGGTAATGGTTATATGATTTCATAATGTACTTAATGCTCCTGAATTGTATTACTTGAGAGATAAAATGAGATATTCTGTATTCTCTGCATTTCTCCACCCAAAACTGCATGGAAATAACCAATTCTTGCCTAGAGAACTAGCTTAGATTCACAAGTATAGTGCTCCCTCTATAGGTAAGGCTGAGGGCCAGCAGGCACTCTCATACTTGATAGTGGGAAGAGAAGCCAACCTGAGAGGAATTTGGCATTATGACCAAAACTGCTGTCTTTTCTTTTTGCTCTATCATTCACACCTTAGGAATTTACAGCAGGAAGACAGATGTCCCAGGAGGTGAAAATAGACATGTACTTGGTTACTCATTGCAGTGTTGTTTGGAATTACAAAATAGTGCAAATAGTTTAAGTGATCAGAGGTACAAGACTAGCTGAGTAAATACCAGTACATACACAAATCTCTACAAACTAAGGGGGAAAAGTAAAGTAGCAAAGAATACCTGTATTATCTTGGTGTATGAAAGGGAATTATTAAGGAAACATATTGGGCTGGGAAGGTGACTCAGTGGTAGAGTGCTTGCCTAGCATGCATGAGGCCCTGGGTTCAATTCCTCAGCACCACATAAACAGAAAAAGCTGGAAGTGGTGCTGTGTCTTAAGTGGTAGAGTGCTAGTCTTGAGCTGAAGAGCTGAGGGACAGCACCTAGGCCCAGAATTCAGGCACCACAACTGACAAAAAAAAAAAAGAATTGAGGGGCTGGGGATGAGAAAACAACCATTCTCTGAATAAATATAATTATTGTATAGACATGTCTTTTGGAATCATGTTATTGTTTCACTGTTTGAGTATCTAAATAAAAGCAGGGAAGCCAGGCACCAGTGGCTTATACCTGTAATCCTAGCTACTCAGGAGGCTGGGATCTGATGATGGAGGTTTAAAGCCAGCCTGGGCAGGAAAGTCATATGACTCTTTATCTCCACATAACCAATGAAGCTGTGACTCAAGTGGTAGAATATTAATCTAGAGCAAAAAAAGCTCAGGTACAGTGCCTACCTAGACCCTGAGTTCAAGCCCCAGACTAGCAGCAGCAACAATGACAAAGTTGGTGACTGGTTACTCACACCTCTAATCATATATACTCAGGAAGCTGAGGTCTGAAGATTGAAGTGCAAAGCCAGCTCTAGCCACATTTCCACTTCTGGCTTTTGTTGTTGTTGTTAACTGGAGAAGAGAGCTCAGATCTGTCTCCCTAGAATCTAGGACTGCAGGTGTGAACCACTAGCTTCTGGCTTCAATCAGGGTTCTTTGCTACAAATTATCGACAAAATAAATGGCCTGTTATCTCCAAAACTCACTGTCCTGAATTATAGTCAGGAACTGTTCCACATAATCTAAAAGATTTGACAACTAAATGCAACGAATTCCTAATTTTAAATTTTCTTTTACTATAAAAAATGTTTGCTATCAGAATAGTTGACATTTCATTACGTTCTACAGATTTTAGCATTGCTCTGATGTTACCTTCCTGAAACTGTGCTATGGGTTATGAGGTTTCTTTTTTCTTGATTTTTTTTTTTTTGTTCCGGTCGAGGGGCTTGAACTTTGGGCCTGGACACTGTCCTTCAGCTCTTCAGCCCAAGGTTAGCACTCTACCACTTGAGCCACAGCACCACTTCCGTTTTTTTTCTTTTTTACTTATGTGGTGCTGAGGAATGGAACCCAGGGCCTCATGCATGCAAGGCAAGTGCTCTACCACTGAGTCACCTTCCCAGCCCGATTGATGTTTTTGTTTTCTTTCCTTTTTGTTCTGTTTGTTCGTTTATGTGTAAGGGGAGGCACAGAAAAGGAGGGACAAAGGGTGAACAAATGCAGTAATAGTGCTCATTGGACACTATTTTGAAAATGAACTATACAACTTGTGGCTGGGGATGGGAGAGAAAAACTGGGAAGGAAGGAGTGACATTGCCCAAAAAGAAATGTAGTCAGAGGCTGGGAATGTGGCTTAGTGGTAAGAGTGCTTGCCTAGTGTGCATGAAGCCCTGAGTTCGATTCCTCAGCACCACATAAACAGAAAAAAGCCAGAAGTGGTGCTGTGGCTCAAGGGGTAGAGTGCTAGTCTTGAGCAAAAGCTCACGTACAGTGCCTAGGCCGAGTTCAAGCCTCAAGACTGGCAAAAAAGAAAAAAAAGAAATGTAATTCTAACTACTCAAGAGGCTGAGATCTGAGGATCAGGGTTCGAAGCTAACCTGGGCAGAAAAGTCCCTGGGAGACTCTTATCTCAAAGAGCCTGAAGTGAGGCTGTGGTTCAAGTGGTAAAGCATTAGCTTTGTGCAAAAGAGCTGCGGGACGGCGCCCAGGTCTTGAGTTCAAGCCCTGAAACCGAATAATAAAAAGAATGTAGTCATTGCTGGGTGCAGGTGCTCCTGTCTGTGAGGAGGCTGGATCTGAGGACGGCAGTTTGAAGCCAGCTGAGGCAGGCAAGGCCTTGAGATTCTTATTTCCAATGAACTACTTAAAAAAGAGGAAAGTGGTGCTGAGCCTCAAGTGGACAGCCCCGGGACAGGCCCCCCAAAAAATAAAGTGCTCGTGAGAACAATTACTTAACAAGTCCAGCACAGGGGGCAAGCAGGGGGCAGGCCCGGCAGGGGAGCCCGCTCAGGCCCGGACCAGCCGCAGAGGCAGCCGTGCGGGGCCGGCGCCGGGCTGCGCAGGGGAAAATGGCCTCCCGGCCGGCCTCCCTACCCGCAGGTGGCGGAAGACCTCTCCTCCGGGGCTGGCCGCCCGCCGCCCCGCGGGCTACGGCGCGAAGCCGCCGACATCAGGCAGGGCTGCGGCCGCCTTCGCCCTGGACGCTGAGCCCGGAGCCCCGCGGGCCCCGAGGGCTTGTGGCGGAGACCCACGGTCCGCTCGGAGCGGCCTCGGGGCCGGGCTCGCGCCCCCGCCGCCCCGAGGGGGAAACAAAATGGCTGCCGCGCCTTGGCCGAGGCTACATACGGGTTCCGCGCCACCACGGAACTACAGCTCCCAGAAAGTTCTGGGCCGAAGGCGGCGTTGGGTGTGTGGAGTGGGGGAGGGGGGAGTGTAGTTTCTCGAGGTGTCGCAAGGCCCGACGCCCTTCCCCCTCGCGGGAGGCTTCCGGTGGACGTTGAGGGTCCGGTCCGCTCGCCCCGCCCTTCCTCGCAATGGCTGATGGGACTCGAAGTTTTTGGGCAACGGATTCGAGCATCCCATACGCCTTAAAAAAACTATACTTCCTGGTGAGGCTTCGGCGCCTGCGCACCACGTCACGGAGCCTACTACGGCTCCCGGCAGGCTCCGCGGCGCTCGCAGTTGCGTGCTGACGCATTTTAGTCGTGCTGACGTGCAAGCGTGGCCCAGGCGGGGTGCGAGTGGCGCAGTCGGAGCCCGCTGCGGCCCCAGAGGTAGCGAGGAGGCGTCCGCGTCGGCTGAGGCGGGCGGGCTGACGAGGCGAGGCGGTGGCTCCAGGCCCCGAAGGAGTCTGGAGCCCGAGCAGCAGTTGCAGCGGGACCTCTCCCCCTCGGAGGCGGCGGGTGGAGGCGGCGGCGGCGGGTGAGAACGAG